ATTCCCACTATTGCCAGGCCAAAGCTCCTCTTTCTGAGAGGGGAAAACATGTTTTCTTCCTCTTTTCTAGTGCTCATGCTAGATCAACCCATCAGAGCTCAGAAGTTATGTTGCCAGAGAGCTAAACACCTCTGGCTGAGTATGAGAGGGTGTCAGGAATTGCTTTTTATTTCTCAAGAAAGATTCTCTAAGTATATCCATTCTTTAGAGAATTGTTCTTTGTAGATTACAGAGAACTTTCACATTTGTTGGGAAGAGGAAGAAGAACAGGAGCGCTAATAACAGTAACAGCAATAATAATAAAAGTGCCTGTTACATAGGGCTTGTAACGTGTCAGGTGCATTTACCTTTATTTTTTTCTAACTTTTAAAACAATCCAATGAGGACACCGAGGCACCAAGAAGTGACTGAGCTGGCACTTTAATCCAAGAGTAACCCCAAAGTTCAAGGCTTTCCTAGTGACTCAGTGGTAAAGAATCCCACCTGCTAGTTCAGGAGATGTGTGCTCAATCCTTGGGTTGGGAAGATCCCCTTGAGAAGGAAATGACAACATACTCCAGTATTCTTGCCTGGAGAACCCCACTGACAGAGGATCCTGGTGGGCTTCAGTCCAAGGGTCGCAAGGGAGTTGGACACGACGTAGCAACTCAATAGCAACAACCCCAAAGTTCAGGGTTTTTTGTGTTTTTCACATTATCAACCTTTAGTTAGTTTCTCTCATTTTACAGTTGAGGAAGCTAAGATGCTTTGAGGCTAAAAGACTTGCTGAGTTCACATCCTTAGAGGGAACAGGGTCAGACCTTACACCCAAGTTGCCAGAAGCCTCTCCGTAGAGAACTCAGTACTAGTGCCTGTGAGAGGCTGCAAGGTTTTAGATGCAGACCTGCCTGGAGCTCAAAGCCCCATGGGAAGATGCGGTTCTCAGGGAGGAGCTTGTTCCAGGTTAGGCATCCTTTGGTTCTGTGGGACAAAAGTCACCCAGAGTTAAACAAGCAGGAGAAATGTAAGCTTTCAGGAGTGTCACAGACAGGAATGGGCCTTGGGGAGGGGCCAGACACAATAAATCACGGAAGAAATCAGGGCTTTCTCTCTGGTTTTTTTTTGTAGACCAAAATCCCCTGCTCCTCAGTGCAAGGGTGGGACAAGGTCCCTGGCTGCACTTAGGTTTATACATTTTTAAGTACAGCTAATGGGAAAGATTTCTTTGTTTCATTTTCCAGGAGAAGGGCCAGTGAGTGTGTAAGCCTGTGTGGGGAGGGTACCCCTGGTCACACTGCTGTGCACAGGAGGCAGGGGACATAGGACAAATAGGGCCAGTCCAACCCCTTGGAAGATGGGGAAGAGAAATGGGCATCGTTGTAAGCTGGATGGATGATCCAGTATGTGTCCAGGTGTCAGACTCCAAACTAGGTTAGGATGAAGTATTATAATGACATCTAGATAATTACCATGGCACTCTTGAACAGTGCCTGAGAAAAGATACTCAACCAACTATTTATTTCATCTAAACCTTCCAGAAAATATGTATGTACTATAAACATTGTCTTTATTGTTGCTGTGAGCTGTTTCTAAAATTCCAAGAATTTTTGTAATGATAACATAGAGGACAAATGTGCTTAAGTAACTGGCAGCTGACTATAGTGATGGCCCAAGACCCTTTGTAAGTTTCTTTGTACAAAGGCATCTGGCACCATAGACCTCCCTTGATAATATCAGACTGGTTTCCAGATCTCCCTTGTGCATAAATATTATGGTCTTTTTGCAAGAGAATCAGGATGGAAGATAAACAGATATGAAATTTTTGGCTCCTAATGGTGGATTATGAGCTATCTACCTCAGATCTTTTCCCTCCAGGAAATTGCCAAACTACATTCAAATGATAAAACAAATAAATTAAAAAACAAACACCTCAAAGCCCCCCATTGCAGCTGTGCACCTCAGTTCATTTCTGCGATGGTGGGGCTAGGAATATGAGCAAAAATCTTTGCCCTTAAGGGATTTCAGGTCTAATTCTTTGTGGAGAGCAGGGTCAGAGTCAGGCAGTCTCCTTCAGATCCGAAAAGGCTTCTCAGCTCTTGGCTTGACTCTTGGTCGCTTTCAGAGAATCTCTGTCACAGGTTTAGAGTCAGCCTTTGTTACTATTTTGAGTTGAGTTGGATCACGTCCATGCAAACTCTGAAAGCATTGGTATCTGTAATTATATTTTGCCAGAGGTATTAGGCCCTGCCAGCACGCTGTACAGTTTAGAGTTGCAAGGCAGGAGCTGTAACTTTTGGACACGTGGTTATTTAACTCCATACAGCACAGAGACAAGAGCCTGAGTCACGTTTGGCCTCCGCGAGGAGGTGCCAGGGCCACTGCACTCCAGCAACATCGCTGCTCCGCCAGGCACATTGATTCACATTTGGTGTCTGCCGCGTGATGGCCCCACTGATGCCAACAAATGATTCATTGTCAGCTCGAAGGGAAAAACAGACTGCGTCGGAAAGAGCCATATGGTGATACATCGGGGTTTTTTCTGCTGTCTTTGCTGGGGAACCCTGACCTTATTATCACACATTTGAGGTGGAAATGTGACGTAATTAAACTGATTTACAAAAGCCACATACAGAAACCAGTGTCATGTTTTTTTAGCCTCAATGTGGTTAAGGCTTCCTTCCTCTGCACATTCATAGTGAAGGTTTTCGGACATGGCTGGGAGAGAGAAGCAGGCTCCGAGAGAAGGTCTGTTTTCTGGTTCCTGGTTCTGGACTTTATACTTTCCCCTTGGTGCTACCCAGGAAAAGGCCTTCTTCACCTCCGTTAAATGGGAAGGCTGTGTTTCTCTGCCATCCACTGGCCATTCCAACGTTGAAAGCCAATGAGCGTGAGCAAAATAATGGTTAGGAAATTGATTCAAAGAGGACCCAGGGATGGGAAATACTGCAGCAGACTATGTTTGACCCAGGATATCAGAATTAAAACTATCTTGATTGAGTGAAGCAACTGGCTCAAAAATAGACCTCAAGATGGACATACAAAGCGAGTGTCAATTTGCATCATATACACACGGAGCTTTAAAAGGCAGCCTGGACACGTCAGTGTGGCAGTTTTTAGAAAGGGACCAGGGTGAGGTTAATGACCCTTGACATCTACTTTGCCTTCATCCTCTGCTGTAAAAATCCTGCTTGGTGAGATTCTGGCATATTGCACAGATACTGTATTTGGAGAAGCAGCAGCAGCAGGGCTGGGTGGTTTGGATTTGCTCATCTGCTCATCTGGATTTGCTAGTAATTAATTGGGATACTTGGTCATGTTTCTTAGTCTAAGTTTTCCAGGATAAAATTTCATACCACTCACCTCGGCGTTTTTGACAAATTGCCAGTAAGACAGATTGTCGGGCCTGTGGGGAATGGAAGCTGTTAATTGGCACAGGGGGGTGGGCCACTGGAATCAGGCAGGTGTATAGACAGGGAGTGACTCATGGCAAAGGCAGCTTCCGCCAGCTTACCTAGTGCCTCTCCAGGTAGGAAAAATGAGTCACTCGTGTTAGGGAGGGGAATACCCCTTCTTCCCTCTTGAATTCTTGTGGCTGGACTAATAATAAGATTCACACAAGAAGGATTAACAGGAGAAAAAGGAAATAATTTAAATCACATACAAGAAGGTCTCATAGAAATGAGACCTAAGGGAACTCCCTGGAAGTCCAGTGGTTAAGACTTTGTGCTTCCACTACTGGGCCTGCGTTCAATCCCTGGTCAGGGAACTAAGAAAAAAGAAAAGAAACGGGACGTAAGGAGTAACCAGAGAAGGCAGTGTGCAGCTTTCATACTTTTCAGACAAGCAATAAATTTGTACGAAATTGACGTGACAAAGAAATTTGGGTTTGCGGTGCTCATTCAAGGATCTAAACAGAGTCTGGGCTTGGGGTAGTAAATTAAAGGAGTAACAGGCTTGTTTCTACAGGCTTCTTGACTGGATTCCTGGTCTTTGGTGAGATAGATGTCCTCTACCTCCAGAGGCAAGGAGAGCACCTTTCACATGAGAGATTTATTTCCTGATTTTAGGGCTACAGGAAAGGACGGCCACAGCACCCCTCTTGATTGGCCATGTTTTAAGTAAGTTTAACTCTAAACAATCAAAATGCCACGGAGGCACATTTTGGGGCTGCCTGCCCTGGACCCCAACACTAGATTCATGGCTCTCTGCCTGCCTTGCTCCCGGGTTAGCCATCTGAAGCCCAGGACCACCTCAAAGGCTAGTTTCTTCAAATCTGATTCATCCTGTTCCCTTCTCAGCCTCACCCTGTTTATTAAGCACTCCTTAGGAAGGAGCAAGGGGTTTCCTAAGGTTGCTCAGTGTTAAAGACTCTGCCTGCCAATGCAGAAGACATAGGAGATGTGGGTTCGATCCCTGAGTCGGGAAGATCCCCTGGAGAAGGAAATAGCAACCCACCCCAGTATCCTTGCCTGGAAAATTCCATGGACAAAGCCTGGCAGGCTACGGTCCATGGGGTCAAAAAGAGTCAGACACCACGTAACATGAGCATGAAAAAGGGGAGAAGGCCCTTTTCTATCATTCTCTCTACTTATTTAAATTCCACAGGAAAGTATTGGAACTACATGTGGAAAAGTTCTTTCATGTTGGGACGGTCTGACCTGGGAGCCTGGGCAGCTTCCCCAGCCCTCTTCCTTCCCTGCCCTGTGACTAAAGACCTGGTCCCTGCTCAGCATCAAAGAAGGCGGATGGACTGCACTCGGGAGGAGTGGCCGTACATCGTCTGTCATCAGCGTGCCAACATCAGCGCCCTCTGGGAAGTTAACTGTCCACGCATTTTCAGACAGGAAAGAAAAAGCCCGTGGTTTACTTTGCAGCACATAATCTGCCTAGAAGGAGCTGAAAAGGGGCCACGGGGCATTTTGTTTGTTTTCTTTTCCATTTGATTTGGGCGATTCGGTGGGGCTCATAGGATTTCTATAATCCTCCTTTATACAAGAAACATCCACTCTTCAAAAACGCAGCCAAGACAACGAGAAGAGAAGAGGCTTCTGGTTCACATCGGATCTGCCAGTTGGCAAATGGCATTGGCGCTGCTGCCAGAGCTGCCTCTGGAACCAACCTTTCCTTCCAGAATGGACATCACAGCTCGGAGCGGGTGAGGGTGCTGACCTACCATGTGATCACAGCTGTCTCAGATCCTTTTCACTTTGCTTCCCGAGGTGAGCCCCACTCTGGCAGAGGCCCGACCTGGCTTCTTCCCCCCACCGAGCTGTTTTCCCAGTTTTCGAGTTCCAGTTTTCACTTTGATAGCCCCAAACGTGTCAGAGAACACCGGTGTCTGCGGTGGAAATCAAAGTTCCAGGTGTAAACGTCATTTAGCCTCCTCAAATTCGCTCGCTCTGGGCTCCACGCCCCCTTCCCTCTTCCTGGATTCTGAGGAACTGGACCCAGAAAGAAGCTGGTTGAAAGTGGCTAGCCCCATCGTCTTTACAGTAGAATACGTCTAAGGTCACACAACTGAAATGCAACAGAACTCACTTCTAGACCAAACCTTCCACATCCTGTATGCTTAAGTCTTTTTTAAAAAAACCTTTCTGATGCTTAAAACCTCTTTCTGCTCCACAGGGCACAGTGCTAGAATAATAGGAAAGTGGTGATTCATAACCAACTTCTGACTTATTTTATTGCACATACAAGGCTCTTGTTTTGTATACCAATTCTTCCAAAGAATGTATTACATCTTTACAGATGCTCTTAAACTCCAACTGTAGCTGATAGCACCTCAGGGACCCTTGATACAGGAATGGAAAAACAAGACATGCCCCCCAATACTCTAAAAATAAGTGATTCTATGAAACTAACAGCGCAAAAAGGAACTAAATAAGTGTGTGTCAGCTCTTCTAATACAATCAACTGATTACCTAGAATGTCCTCAAAAATACACATGTGCTGGAGGGTGGCCGTGAGAGGAGTCTGCCCCAAAGTAGATGTATTTTATCTCGGCTGTGGTTTAGAATTGCCACATCCGGTGATAATAAAAAGCGGGCTCATTAGCTGATTTCCCTTTTGTTAATTCTATACGGACAGTGCACCCCAGCTCCAACGCCGCACCCTTCCAGTACACCACCAAGTGTAACCAGTGACTCATTGTACCCATCAGATCAGATTGTTTTGGAATTATTTTAATTGGTCTGGTTTTTTTCTCTTAAATAAATAAATCTCATTTCCCCCTGCTAGGTGGGCAGATCCTGCCCTCCCCTGTCTGGTTTCCCCCAGCTGCCTGCAGGTTTCTGTCAGCCAGGCCTGAGGCAATGAACCCTCCCTCCCTCCCAATTAGGGATTAGCGACTGGTGTCATCTGCACTTGAGCACAGTGGGGTGACCAGTTGACCGCGTTGACCTCTGCCCTGAAATCCAGCTCTGAGTGTTGGGCCAGGCCACTGGTTCCCCAGCCCCTGCTCTTGCCACCTACTTCCTCCCTGTCCCCAAATCCTCTGAATCCTCACTGGCTGGCCCCGACAGCAACCTGGCTTCCCTGGTGGCTCAGCAGTAAAAAATCTGCCTGTCAATGCAGGAGACATGGGTTTGATCCCTGGGTCGGGAAGATCCCCTGGAGGAGGAAATGGCAGCCCACTACAGTGTTCTTGGTGGAGAATCCCAAGGACAGAGGAGCCTGGCGGGCTATAGTCCAAAGGGTCGCAAAGAGCTGGATATGACTGAGCAACTAAACAACAAAATCACCCTGGAGAGAACTTTTTAAAAAAGTGACCCAAGCATCCCCCTGAAGCTAAGAACTATCCTTGTCTAATCCTTTCATGGTCAGCCCCTCCGCTACACCCATAGGGCTTGGATCACTGCCATTCCCTGCTGGAGAAGCCTCCTGGAGGGAGGGGCCAGATGAGCCAGCTTCAGTGGTGTGCTGGTGAATAGTAACAACCAACATTCTGGAAAGGGCTTCCCTGGTGGCTCAGTGGCAAAGAATCCACATGCCAATGCAAGAGACCCAGGTTCAACCCCCAGGTTGGGAAGATTCCCCTGGAGAAGGAAATGGCAACCCATTCTAGTATTCTTGCCTGGGACTTAGCAACTAAACAAGAAGCAGCAGCTCTCTGGAAGACAAGAGCCCTGACACGTAGCATTTGCCCTCCACTCTTTCCATCCAGAGACTTGCTGCATTGGAATCCTTTCTCTACAATGCTGGTCTAACATTGTATAACTGGTATAACTACTCCCACCGTGGCCGGTTTCAGGCCATCACCTCCATGGCCCTGGATGTAGGGGTGGGAAGAGATGCCCAGCAGCACAGGGTTATACAGTATTTCTGCCACACAGAGAGATAATAGATGTTAACCACCTTGACAGCTGAGGATACATGAAAATGTAAATAATTAGGAAGTGATGAGTTGTAGGTGTTTATCACTGTTGTTCTTAGTATAATTTATTCAAATTTTAACATTTATATGATAATTTATTTTTAAATAATGGCTATGTTTAATACCAGCTCTCAGAATTCCTGAAAGTGTAACAGTTGATTCACTAGCTCCTCTCCAGGGCCAGCTCCGGCACAGCACTGCCTGGCATATCTCTCGACCCCCACCCTCCCACGGCTTCAGCTGTGTTTCATTTCACCCTGCCAGTGGTCTGCAGGATCTCAGTGTTCCTTCTAGCCAGGGCCGTGTGACTTCTGTTCCCTTGGTTGCTAAATTCAATGCATAAATTCCAGCCTTTATTCTCCTTGGCCTTCCAGGGACTTGTGACACCCCATCCATCTTGAAACTCTGCAACACCATTCTTTCCTTTCTTGCCATTATTTTATTTTATTTTTTGGCTGAGCAATGAGGGATCCCAGTTCCTCAGCCAGGGATTGAACCTGCACGCCCTGCAGTAGATCAGCAGAGTTTTAACCACTGAACCACCAGGAAAGTCCCTTCTGCCATTATTATATCTTTAGTTGCGCATGTGAACTCTTTGTTGTGGCATATGGGATCTAATTCCCTGACCAGGAATCAAACCCAGGCCCCCTGCACTGGGAGCTCGGAGTCTTAGCCATTGGATCACCGGGGAAGTCCCCTGCCTTTATTTCTGAACCTCTTCTGAGGGCTTCTGTTCCTCTGCTGTATCTTTAACAGTGGATGCTCCCCAGGATCTGACCATGGTTTCTTTGGTCTTCCATCTCCTTCTTCTGAACATGAATGTTTCCCACATCCATGCCTTTGGTGACCCCATGGACTAAATAGCCTGTCAGACCCCTCTGTCCATGGGATTGTCCAGGTGAGAATACTGGAGTGGGTTGCCATTTCCTTCTCCAAGGGGATCTTCCCGACCCAGGGACTGAATACAGGTCTCCTACATTGCAGGCACTCTTTACCGTCTGAGCCACCAGGAAAGCCACCTTTGGCTCAGATCTCTGTTTTGACCTCCAGACCTACAGGTGTGACCATCTTCAGCTCATCTTTATCTGACCATTTCATAAGCATCTCACACTCAACCTGTACCATCATTCCAACCCCGCCCCCAACCTCTTGGTCCTCCTTTATATTCCTCATGCAGGCATTCATGTCATTGTTCGTTCCATAAATATTTACGGAACACCTACGACATCCTAGTCACTCTGCCACGTGCTAATTAAGCCACAGTCCTTGTGGAACTGACTCACAGGAAATAGCATCACCATCCACCCAGTGACCTAGGCCAGAACCCTGGAGTCATCTTTGAGCCCTGCCTCTCCCACATGACTTATTTATAATCATTTGGTCAGTAAACTTGTCCTCCTCTACTTCCTAAACAAGCCCGGAACCTGTCTTCCTCTTCCACCCCCACCGTGGCTGTCTTCTCAGATCCTTATCGTTTTTCTCCTGGATTATACAGGAAGCCCTCCACTCTTTCCATCCAGAGACTTGCTGCATTGGAATCCTTTCTCTACAATGCTGGTCTAACAATATTTCTGAAACCATATTTATGATATAGCCGTTGCACAGTATAGCATCCTCCCCGATTCCCTCTTAGTCTGCAGAACAAAACCTATGCTTCTTGGCTTCGTGGAAAGACCCTCTGTGTGATCAATGCCCTGTCCACCTCTTGGTCTGCTTGTCTTCATTCCTCTTGGGACTATTCTCAGGCGATTCCTTCTGTCTAGAATCCCTCTACTGGCCCACACTACCCCATCCCATTCCCTTCATTGACTGTCTGCTCCACCCATTTATCCTTCAAAACTTGTCCTGATGTGGAGGCTTCCCTGGTGGTCCAGGGGTTAAGACCTCGCCTTCCAAAGCAGAGAGTGCAAGTTTGATCCCTGGTTGGGGAACTAAGACCCCACATGCTTCAGGGCTGAAAATCAAAACATAAAATAGAAGCAATGTGGTAATAAATTTAATAAAGGCTTTTAAAATGGTCCACATGAAAACATCTTTAAAACAAACCAAAAAATCTTGTGCTGATGCAAGTTTGCCACTGTGGCTGTGCCACTGGGCTGTTCCTGTCACGTCCTCCTGGAGGTGGACGCTGGCCCCCCAGGCTGCGCTTGGTGACCTGTCTCCCTGTCAAAGCTGTGTCATGCTAAAGAGCAATCATCTGTTTATCAGTCTCCATGCCAGGTGGCGCAGTTGATAGAGAATCCGCCTGCCAATGCAGGAGTCTCAAGAAACACGTGTTCGATCCCTGGGTCAGGAAGATCCCCTGAAATGGGAAATGGCAACTCACTCCAGTATCCTTGCCTGGAGGGCTACAGTCCGTGGGGTCACAAAGAGTTGGACATGACTGACAAATATGCATTAATCATGCTTCTTTGGAAAACAAGCTTGTAAAGGAGGAGACTGTGTCTTTTATCCCTGACCACAAGAAGTGTGCAGGGCCCCAGAAAGCAGTCAATAAAGTCTTGTTGAATGAATGATTGTGTCAATGGTGACCGGCGGAGGTGGCCAAGGGCACCGGACCCCAAGGGAACCCTGGGGCTCCAGGCGGAGTTGCGGGGGCACCATGCTGCACAAAGTCGATACTTTAGACCATGAGCGTGTGACTTAGAGAGTGAAGAGGTGGCCAGGCTCTCCACACATAGTGGTAACTATGATAATGACTGAATATTTTTAGGCACTTAAAGTGCCTGGTGGGTTACAGTTCACACGGTCACAAAGAGTCGGACACGACTGAGCACAGATGGTCGTACAGGTATTTTTAACTGCTGGCTCTTAGGATGTGGATGGGATGGCGGTGTGTGTGTGAGTGTGTGTGTGTGTGTGTGTGTGTGTGTGTAGGGGTGATTGGGTATAAAAGATCCAAGATTGTGGATCTTGTGTGGGGTAACCTAGCACACGTGCACACCCACCCTCCCCCTACCCCCGACACACACAATAGCTAAAATCCGAGGGAAATCCTGTCAAACCACCTGAAGGATCCGACTGTTCCCAAGCTTTAGGGCTAGGAGCCTGGCCTCATTTGCATATTGGCACCAGCTCTCCACTTGCTGAGATGCTCAGCTTCGTTGCCACTGCCCTCTGCTGTCTGCAGCCAGA